CGCGAGCTGTGCAGCGAGCAAGACGACGGTTTCTCGGAGGAAAAGGAGGAATCTTACGTGCGCTCGCCAACACCAGCCTCGGTGGATGATTCCCTGAACTTCGGCCGCGCGCAGGCATTCGACGGGAGCACTCAACGAGAGGTATCATCGCGTGTCATTGAGCGAAATGGCGGATAGAAAACGCGCGAAAAAATACGTACGATCGTCAACGTACGTACCTGCCGGCGGCGCGGGGTCACGTGACGTTGGCGCGTAGGTGGTGGGTGCGCGCGGGAGTACTATGTGCACGCTCGATGTCCACGTGGTACTCGGAGGTCGTCGCGGATGTGTCGAACCTGGAAGGCGAATCTCTGAAAATCTCGCGATGCGATTCGCGCAATTAGTTGAGGCCGCAACGAAGGAAGAAACTCAGAGAGACGACGAGTGTTCTTAGCCGCGCATTTAGCGCGAAACGTGGCTGTTCGTGATCACTTTCGCGTATTGTCAATTCGGTTAGAACTAAAATTCCGACTAGAGTAACGAAAGACACGACGAGTGACAAGAAAATAAGGCCCGCGCTTCGCACTCCAAATATATCCGGCTGATTGTCTTTACATTCGATATACTCTTAAGCTATGTTCTCGCAGTTTTCTCGGACAAACGGTGTTTAGCGAGACAGACGGCCACTTTTGGGGGCGAAATGCGTTGCCAAAACAAAACGCACACATACGTGCGTCCAAGGCCCGATGGGCACGAACGGACTTATGCTCGATTCGACATTGTGTGACTCGCGAGCCTATTACATCATGACGTTACACGACACACACACATACACACTCTTACGTACTGTATTATGTTATAAGCAGATAATATATTCTATATTTTGTCCAAATTTACGATTAAGTTAAAAATAAACGAATGTTTTCTTAGTATTTGGCCATTTTTGTCATTAATTACTTTCACTTTTTACTTAACGTCAATTTACAACTTATCAACTTGATTATCTTAAAAAGAAATAATTGCTAACAATTAAATAATCAATAAAAATTACTAATCTATTATTTCTTTTATATTAATCCATATATGTCCATATACATTCTTTCTTTGTTTCGTTACAATAATTCTTTACCCGCCGAGTTATTTCCGAGCTGGGAATAGCGTGCAATAGAATGATAAAAATACTGTACACGTATAAAAATATTTTAATATTTATGAACATAAAACGTTCATCTTAGAACTACAGAAAATAATCTTAGAAAAGTAATTCTATTTACAATATTTATAAGAATTTACAATTCCATTTACAAGAGTCGTTTTAATGCAAAGTTATAGTAAAATTAATTATTTACAGTTGCTATGACATTCAAACTAATATTTAGGGATAAATGTTTAAAAGTATTTCTGTAAAGGTTCCCCTAAAATTTCCTCCAAAGTGCGAACAGCATTCTGGGCACACTTCTCCGTAGCTTCGTCTTCATCTTCTAATATCTCTGCTAGGAAGGGCACCGTTTCCGGCAATAAAGGCATAAAGTCTTCCCCAAGTTTTCTCGCGATTTCCACCTGAATTGCAATAGTGAGTGATTGTTCAATAAGTAAAAATACAAATGATATAATAGCAGTTAAAATGAGTGAAACGAATTAAAAATTAGGAACAGAAATCTTTTTATATGTAAATCCACGCTGCATTTTTGAAAAATAGATTATTAATAAATGTATATACTTTTAGTATTCGAACTTTTTTGTCATTCACATATAGAATGTTAAAATTGAGAAAATTAAATTTTTCATGTTCAAATCAATTTTTCTCATTAAAAAAATTTTTTTCTTAAATAAAAATTTTTAATATAGAATACATAATGTCTCACTAAGCACCTGAAATTAATTGTTTATAAAGAAAAACAGTAGAGAAATATGAATGTTCCAATGTAACTATTTTATATGTCAATAAATATTTAAAGAGAATATTTTACTTTTAATAATTTAAATTAAGCTCTGAAATAAATCAACTGTTGTATCTTAGCTTACCAAAGCGTTCAAGGCAGTGCTCCTAACATAAGGCTTCGCGTGCTTAGTCTTTAGCAACATCTGGTAAACCAGCTGCTTGTGCAACGTGTCGTCGGGAATGGCGCTGGCGAAGGAAGCTATACAAGGTACAATCAATTGACTAGCTCGATTCTCGTACTCTTCCTTCGTGCCCATTGTGTTTTCCACCTGGTCTATTATTGGCTGCGCGAGGATCTCGTACCGTTCTTGACTGACGAAATTGTGAGCGTCGTAAATGAATACACGGTGAAAGGTCAACAGAATCGCCTCTACCAGCTCGATTCTGTTCGATTCTTCAGAAAGCGTCAATTCGTGAGGAGTATCGCTGACGAACGTGTTATTGTTTTTCAACAATAATGCCGCATGTTTAAGGAAGAGATCAGCGAATAGAGCGAACAAAGATTTTAAACATTCTGCTATATTCGCTGATAACCTAAAGAAATATTATTACATTATCAAAAGAGTACTGTGTGCAATAATTGGTAAATATATTACTTAATATATGTTATGATTTTATTATAAAAATATATTATTTTAACTGAATAATAATATAATAAAATCATACATACCTGTAGAATGTTATGTTTCGTTGCTTGTGCTTTGCACTTTTCTCTGCCCACTTATAAAAGTCTGAGTATAACGGCTTGAAGGTCGCTTCGCTCAACTTCAAGACCAGAGCGACCAAAGCTTTTCCAGCGCTCTCCTCAATCGTGACGATGTCCTTTGAAACATCTTCTTTATCGACCATTTGATCATCCTTG